GTCCGGATAAGTACTTCTTTGTACTAGGGCATCGGCGCCCGAGCGCATGACACTTGCTGCGCTACCATTTGACTGCTTAGCAGTCGAACATCACAAATATAGCTTTGCTTCATCACAAATATAGCTTTACTTCATCAGGCTCAAAAGCGTAAAAGTCAACCAAACCCCATCGCCCATTGACTTCCATTGCCACAGAACGTCTAGATATGAGGATAAAGGCACGAGCAGCCTTGCTCGGTAGTAAAACGCAGCCCCATTCGTTGTAAAAGAAGGGACGCGTCGCCATTGACCCCAAACGCGCCAATGCGGCAGACTGAGTCAGTGACAGTGTTGAGCTCCAGATACGATCGCAAGCCCTAGCTTGGGAGGCCTGGGGACGGACGCTGATGGGTGCGAAGGTGACGTAGAGCCCTCGGCACCGCCACTAAAGCCCGACAGCTGATCGCCGCTCTGACGGGTCACGGAAGCCTGGGTCGGTTTGTTTTCTACCGCCGGGTGATCACACTTGTTTTTAGCTCTTTGTACTAACACCAGTGTCATATCTCAGAGCTACAAAATGGGGTGGTGTGGTTCAAACGTGACGCATACAGTATAGGGCTTACTGAGATATGGATTCGTCCCTGCACATATTCATCACGCAAAGATGTCTGACGCTCATGAAGACACCAGAGCTGACTGCTTTTTCCCGTGAAAAAAATGTGGTGCATCAAAGCTACCTCAATGATGCTATATGAACCACCTCCAGGTGTGATAGCAACTATTAGCAAAAGAATGGAGGGGAAACGAAAGGGTACAGCTCCAGCAGCACAGTAGGCAAATGGATGGATAGAGAGGAGAGAGAGAGAGAGGAGATGATGAGAAGGACCGAGGAGAGATGAGATTCGGACGTGAAGATCGCACTGAGAGAGAAGAGTGGCTGAGAGAGAGAGAGAGAGGAGAGAGAGAGAGAGGAGCAGAGAGAGCGAGAGATGAGAAGAGGAGGAGAGAGAGAGGATCGGAGAGCGAGAGAGAGAGAGGAGGAAGAGAGAGAGAAAGAGAGGTGAGGCATGAGCAAACGGGTAGTAGAAGAAGCGGGAACGGTACCGTCACTCAGACTATCCAAACATTGCCGTTTTGTTTTCATCCCTACTCTTTTTCATCGCAAGTCAGTTTTTGCAGGTGGGGCTTCTGAACATTCCGCGCAAACTGATATGGGACAACTGACCACTTCAATTAAAACTGTGTCTCCCATCAAAACTATCGCTGCCTCCATGGACGCAGTCTGGAGCAGGTATGAATTCCAGAGTTTGCTTGTAAACGTGACAGAACTTGCTGATGGAGGATGCCCCGACTTTTGAGTCAAGGTAGTGCTGGTGGCAAAAAAAAATGGCAGAATGGCATTCATCGAGAGCATTCCGTTCCAGTCTGCCAAAGACACTTGTTTTCGGTATGTATAGCTCGAGACACACATATCTCTCTGTTTCACAGACGACAACCTAATCAGCCATCGCTGTAAAGCAGCATCATGGCAAGGAGTCACTTTTGGACGTGCAAGGGTGCGCGATGACCATAACTGATTGTGTTAAGGACCAGTTATCGGCCCTTATCTGTCAATCTGTCAACTGATTATTTCGCAGAAAATATGTGATCGAATGTCTGGTAAAAATAACGCCAACATTCGCCAGATGTCCCAGATAATCAGGCGCCTATAGCCTAACTTGTTTTGCCTCAGGGCGCCAGTATAAACCTTCTCCGTATACAGGCTAGTGTGGAGTATTGTGGGGTATTCTTGCCCACGCATGTAGAAACATGGTTTCATGCACACTGTTATGCACCATCGGAACGCCTAAACCACCGCTAATCGTTCGAAAATGCAGTCATTCAAAAGGCCAACGCCTAAGCCAGGTGGTGATTTCCAGCACTATTAGTTTGAATAAGCTCCGTAGGATGTCGCGCAGACGCCAGCCTGTCGCTTGTGTCCGTGCTCACCGTGCACCGAAGCGGGTTTTTTTTCTTTCTTCGGCCCGTGCTTGGTTTTGTGTCCAGAGGGCCAGGGAAACCTAGCTTCCCGATACATGTAGTAGAGCTTGTCGGCCAGCCAGTGTAGGTGCCCCGGTACGATGGTAGCGATTCCAGTTGTCGTCCGCACTTTGTACGTGGTCGACTTCGGCTTTGTTGTGGTCACCTTGTAGTAATATGAAGGGTGCGTCGGCGTCGTCGTTGTCTTGTGGTAATGTGATGGGTGCGTCGGCGTCGTCGTTGTCTTGTGGTAATGTGGTGGGTGCGCCGGCGTCGTCGTTGTCTTGTCGTAATGTGATGGGTGCGTCGGCGTCGTCGTTTTCTTGTAGTAATGTGTTGGGTGCGTGGTCGTGGTCGTTTTCTTGTAGTAATGTGGTGGGCGCGTGGTCGTCGTCATCGTCGGCGTGGTCTTTCTGTGGTAGTGTGGCGGATGAGTCGTCGTCGTTGCCATTGTTGTTGACGCTTTGAAGAAGTGAGGGGAATGCTTCGTTGTCGTGGTTGGCGTTGCCGTTGTTTGCTTGTAGTAGTATGATGAGTACGGATGGGTCGTCGTTGCTGTCTTCGGTATCGGTGTTGTCTCTCGCACCTTAATGTAGAGCAATGGGTGCGTTGCGATCGTCGTCGTCGTCGTCGCCGCTGTCGCCTTCTTCCCCTTGTAGTAGTAGTACGCTGCGGCGGTGGTAGGCGCTGCCGTCGTCACCTCGTGATGGCTCGGCTCCTCGGGCGTGGGCTCTGGCGGCAGGAGGTATGCTCCGGGCAGCGCCAGCAGCACGTCAGCATCTCTCCGGCCGCCCGTCGTCTCCTCCATCGCCTTGGGGCCCTCCATGCGGCCGGCAGGCAGCGAGCCGCCGCCATCGGGGAACGCCAGGCCGCTGGGGTCGAAGTAGGCGCCCTGGCGGCGCCAGAAGTTCCTCGTCGGTCGCGGCGTCATGTACATGGAGCGCACGGACAGCGGCAGGCTGGTGTAACGAGCAATACGCGACAGCATGAGCGGCAGCCCGCCGGCGCGGCCAACGAGCAGCAGCGCAGCGAGCAGAGGCACACTGGGGGACATCGTCAGGCGGGGTGGCGCCCAGCGCGTCAGCCGCCGGCCGGTGCTCTGCTGACGCGGGCGTCCCTGGTGCTGCGGCGCGGTTGCCTCGCGCTCCAGCAGGGTACGCTGCGGAGGTAGGTTGGCCGGGAGGGCGCCCGCTCACGACCGCAGGCCTCTGGAGGGTCAGGAGCCTCCGCCAGGTGCGCCTCCGGGCGTGTTGGCGCACCGCTGACCACTGCGGACCGCCGCTGTTGCCGCTCGGTCAAGCCCAGCTTTTAGCGTGGACGGCAGTCCTCAGCCCCAGGCACGCACGAACGGCAGCGAAATCGGCCTCATTGTTTGGGCGTCCGGTGTAGGTGGGCAAAAAGGCGTAGCGTGCAAAATGGTGACGGCTAATAATCTTCAATCCCCGCTGACGATTTCACAGCGCACACGGACGCTTCACTCGGGTGGCTAGCAGGTATAATCTGCAAGCTATCGTATGACCGAAGGCTATCGAATAATGCTACAGGCTCCAAAAACGTGACGGCCGACTGGCCCCTGTGTATCCAGCACGCACTTAAGATGGCATAACCATACCATTACAGAGGCCGAAGTGCTGAGCGTACTTAACTCTTTCGATCCAAACAAATAATACGTTTCAGGCAATTTCTCAGCAAAAATATTAAAAATGTCTGCCGTCTTGATAAAAACTCATCTCGCTAAATACTTTTTATGTGTCACCAAGCCATTCCGTTTTTCCGTACACCTGTCAGAAGCAAAGGTTCATCCCATTAAAAAAACAAAACGTCAAGCTCAGGTCGTGATAGGCACGGACAAATTAGCTTACTTCTTTGCGTGCCAACAATTTTTGAAAGAATCGTCTTTAAAAGCATATATCTACAACTAATTGGGGCTGTGCTGCGTTTAGAAGCTCAAAGTGGATGCCATTCAAAACATAGTACACAGATTCGGCTTGCATATTTCATAAATAATCTGTATGCAGCCTTGAAACTAAGCACTGACTTAACAGCTTTCTTCTTGGATAGCATTAAATAATTTTTCTTACTAAGGTGCGTAAACTAAGGTGCGTTCCTGGGTCGGGTGTCCGCCGCTGGCTGAAGACGGCTGGAGGTGTCGACCTGGAGCGGCGGCGGACGCGCGTCTCGTCGCAGGTCGGGCGAGCAAGCGCTGACTCACCGGCGGCTTCACCAGCGGCGATCACAATATTTGGCATTATTGTTAGGAGAGACGCTCAGATTTAAGCCTTCTGTGTTTGCCTTAATCCGCCCATCAAACCAGATACTGTATCATTTTTATTATCGGAAACAAATAATACAACGAGCCTTCTTGATGGGATCCAGAGTTGGCGCGGGTACGAATCGTGCGATAATGAAAAAATTGTGATACAAGAAAACCTTAATAAGGCTTCTGTCTCTCAGAAAAAGTGGCGAGCGTTCTCAAACAATTCCGTTTGACCGCACATATTGATATACGTTGCAACTCCACACGCGTCAAGCGGAGGCATCACAACAGACACACAACTGTCGTGGGCTCTCCCGGCACAAAACGAGAGGCGATTTCACCGCTGCGATCAAGTGTCGCCATCACCGACCGGATGGTCTCCCACAACCCTGGTTAACGTGTCTCAGAAATGTGATCGTCAGGTGGTGACGGAATGGCGGAGCAAGGTTCATGTACCCGAGCGTTCCGTCAGGCCCGGCAAATGGCAAGCAAGTTTAAAACGCGGGGAAATCCGGAACATAAGGTTATGTGTGCCTTGGAAAAAATGCGCCGGGAAGGCAGAAACAGTTCTTTGCAGTGGCGGCGGAAATAACTTGACAAGCCACGGCGCCAGCCGGCCCGGCTACACCACCATTGCACGTGCTTTGTCCGCCCGCAGTTCCCCGAGCTCAGAGACTCCAATTCCAGCCAGGACAGACACGGGGTCGCCGAGTCGCCGCCGGTGGGGCCACAGCTAGACCGACGCTCCGTCCAGCCGGTCAGCAGCGGTCAACATGGCGGTTCTACGGCCCCTGCTTCTGCTCTCTCTGGCCCTGGGTCACGCTAGACGAGCGACATCGCTCCAGGCGCTGGTAAGCTCGCGGCTCGTTGGTTGGAGGTTCAGGATGCAAACGGTGGAAGTCGTTCTGTCGTGATGGCGGTGCCAGCGTATCCTATGTTCCATGAGAAGTTCTTGACCGCAGATTTCTCTGGTATATATGTTGGGCTTCAGTCCCGAAAACGCTCACTGTTCGTTTAAAAAGACCACTTCGCGATGTGGCAAGCCCTTGATTTTCAAACTACGACGTGATATCAAGGCTCAGCTTTTTTCGTTTTTGAAACAGCCACATCGCGCTCTGGTAATTTACAAAACGTCACGCGACGCTGTAGACCTCTTTTCGGGGTGTGCGCGGCTCTCAAACGATCACATTGTGATATGTCAAGTCGTGTTTTGACACACTGTGCTGAAGTCATTTACCCACTGTGCTGACGACCTGATAAGCTAAAAGGAATTTTCCGCGAATGTATGGCTGCTTGCATGATTATCTTCCCACACACCTTGCCTAAGACAAACGGCATGACGAAAATGGGGTTCGACTTTGTGGGTTGACTGTTCCAATGAAACATGCTAAGAGTAATGCCGTTTTTCAACTCATGTTTTAAGTTCTGACGCTAATGGATTCAAAACAAACACAAGTTTGGGATAGTTCTTCTTACTTTGGGGTATTCTCTTAAGATCTATATCTAGTGAAGAAATTGTCTTGGTGACAAAGGATCAGTGAAAAGTTGTTTTCAAATAACCATGCTTGATCATTTTGCACCGGTTTATGGTAATTACTCTCGCATCCAACTCCCAAATCCGACTTGAGCATCCTCCGTTCTAGAGCCTTTCAAAAGGCTTTATGGTTTTACAGCCCAAACGTCTTACTCCCAAGTGCGATATAAATATCACTAATCTTATACTGCTCCAAGTCAATTTACGGTACTGCTTACAGGAAGACTAATTGCAAGAGCCAAACACCACCGTCCTCTCCTGATGCGTCAACTACATCGGGTAGAGGATTGCTGATTAACAACCACATCGTTATGCGTCGAAAAAGACTCGCCACGCCGCAATGCGATCTCTTGAGAACCGACCACACCCGAGAATAGATCAACAACGCCTTTTGGCGCTTTGGAAATTAGTAGGCTGTAATATGGCTGTTTCAAAACGGCCACAAGCCGAACTACGACGTCATTTCGGGGTTTGGGAATTAGGATTGGCCAGGGTGGCTTAGGGTTAGAGTTAGGGCGGGTTTGCTATATGACCGCTCTTAACGGTCCGTGGCCGTGCTTAGGATTGGAGCCCAACATATATTTCTTAGGAGTAGGTGGCGAGAACATTGTGATACGCAAACGCAACGTTGAAATTAAGTCTCGAATTAATATAAACGAACGGGTACACATGCACAACAGCAATACCAGTAATTGTGTCCAAATTAGTTCGGTGTTTCATTACGTCATACGATGCACCAAATGTTTCTCATCTACACGCACTGACTGCGTAAGCCCCAGCCCACCGATGCTGTTACCATACTGAGACTACAAAGGACTTCATACCTGGCTGTGCTCCCCACGAACATAACCGTTTGGGACCCATACATCCGTCATAAAACAAGAATGTCTGTCAGGACCTCCAGTGTGGACCGATGGGCTTCCACCACATCTCAGCTGAGGGCCTGCTAAGCCGAAATGTAGTCTCTGTGCCAATTGTTGAACCATCTGCGAGGATTTCAATGCATATTTTTGTTGTTCAAAGATTAGACTGGGCGTATATTTTACCTTGATAATGTTGAGAATGTCCTCTGAACAGATTAACAGTTCAAGCAACACAACAGCATGAGGCTTTACCTTTGCTCTTCCGGTTCGCCACTAGATTCCAGCGCCAGTTCGCGGTGCTGTAAATGCCAGTTCGCTCGTATTATCAGTTTCAAAACGCACAGGTGAAATGCCCGTCAGAACCACCTTCTAGGCGCACAGGTAGTCTACACAGTTCACAGGTACTTCTTTCCGATGCGTCATTATTTCCGTCCGATTGTCGGCCGCCGCCTGGTAGGCGCCGGGGACCGACGTCGCGCGGCTCGCGGACACTGCAACGCAACGCCAGGACACTGCAACGCCAGGCGTCTGTATTTGTTGTTTCTGAGATTCGCGAGCGCGCGTGATCAAAACCATGGTACATAATCTATTTTCCCTAATCGATTCTGACTGGAGGCTCAATATTTCCAGACAAACATAGGTTGGTCATGTTAATACTAATACGTGGACCCACTTCGATGTAATCAACGTTCACGGGTCCATCAATATCTCCACACACCCCAGAAAATTCTGACAAAGCCTCTGAGTCCTATCGGCTTAGAGAGAGTTCTGACAAAGCCTCTGAGTCCTATCGGCTTAGAGCGAGTTCACGTCATATAGTAAGTTAACATCACCGACAAGTTATTTCATGCAGCCATTCAACATCCCTTCCCTCCAGCTATCACTGATTTAAAACTAAAAACAGAACTGCATTTTCTCGTAGCTGATCTAGCTTCTGTTCCAATAAAAGGAGCTACGAATGCAAACATAATGCAGCAAATCATGCCCGTCTTGGACCAAGTGGGCCAAATCTAGTGATAGATGTTCTTGGGAGGGGGGGGGGGGGAGGGCTTTTACCACCAGGGGGCGCTTTGTCAACCCTGTGCCTCCTCCCTGACCAGGGCTATGAGATCGCCCCTGTTCTAAGCCGCAAAGAAGCGATCCGCAGTGCTGTATGGCAAAAATCTAAATGGAAAGATATGTGGTGAACTTAGGAGGCGCAACGTGAGTGGTAGGTTACGGGTACACTTAACAAGTCTGCTTAGCAAGTGTCATGGAAAAAATGATCATGCGACCATTTCGAAATCACTTTCTAAAAGTCAAAAACAATTTAATGCTAATCATTTCGAGAGTACCAGAGCCACGATCAAATGATATCGAATGGATAAACAATCAGAGATGCAGGCAGCCACCGGGGGTCGGCTCTGACGCCGCCGACCACTGTTTTGCGCCAGAGACGATTTGTTTGTCACAGTCGGCAACGTGTCTCTTTAGTAACGGTTGTGTATCAAACATACAGTCCAGTGACGACACCGGCGGTTCAATGCATAAATATATTTTCATATTTGTGTTAAATCGGTGATAAGTCAGCAATTTTGTTTCAATGGAGTGACAAAGCATGAGACTTTGGTTGTCCTTGGAATCCAAGCGTGGCTGTGGCCCTCGTCGGAAACATCATCTGAATGCGACCTAATCGGGTGACCATCAGTTGGGACAGCGATTACTGTCTTTATTTGGCACCAAAACCGGTCAAGAACGTGATGGTTCATGCATATGTGTCGCTGATATGATACATGTATGCGTTCTTCTGTGCATGCTATGCATGCCATTATTTGGTATATATGTTTCCACGCATGTCGTCTCGCCGGCCGTCGTCGACTGACGGGTATCCTGCATTTTTTTTCATTTTTAGATCTTAAGGTGAACTTGAATATGCAAGGGGACTGCAGGGCAGTCTTCCTGACGCCAGAAATTGTCCACACAAAACTGTTTTCACTAAACGGGGCTCACTACGTGGAGCTCACTAGGTCTACGGAGGTCCAACGAATCACTCATGTTGAACGTCGCGAGCTGTCTTCATAGTACACAATCGAATCGTACGTCTTAGCTTGCAAAAGCCTGGGAAGTTAACTATACGTAGTTCGTCATCGTTGTCGAGAAATTAATAATAAAGTTTAAATATTTTCTACGTTACCCGCTTCAGGGATTGGGTTGCAACCCAGTGAGAAGGAAACTTTGATTAAACGACGATAGACGTCACATTTGCTGCATGACGGCTATATTCAGCCTGTTTTACACCACAAAGACCCTTGGCCCCGCCACCCTTCTCCTACCAATCTTTGTGGAGGGAAGGCGGGTACTGGGCATACCAGGTGCTAAAGTCAGGTGGGTGGCAGGCGAGATGAGAAGCCTTCAAACCACTGAAAATATATGGAATGACGCGTTCTACGTTTCTCCAGGGAGGATATATGGCGTTCACTTGTTTTTCTGAAAACGCGCGTTTAATATTTTTAAAGGACATCTGTAGCTTTGCATGCAATCTTAAGTAATTCATCTGATCCCTGAGTCACATCTCCTTGAGAATATCGGGGGTTTCAATCATACTTGCGACTTCTTTATGCCTGTCTTGCCACGCATCGTCAAAAGTCCCAGGTTAAAATTTGAAGATGTTGCCTCCTACCCAAGCACACAAAGTAACATCCTTCGAGCCTATCAGATGCTTCCCTGTCAGGTCAGATCGCGCGTCCGTCGCTGACCTTTCGAAGTCAGATTTTTTACGCCCCTATTAAGCCTGTAAATGGCTCATCGCATTACTGAGCGAGCACCACGAACCACGCCAGCTTTGGCGCAGTGCGCCGCATTGCGAGAGAGCATGCCCATGATCTTATTCATGATCGTTTAATGCGTTCAATACAGCCTCATCTCGCAATAGCGGGTGAGCTCCGACAGACTCCTTCTGCTCCGGCGAGGTTATAAAGCTCAACACGTGCATCTGCGCCAAGCCGATGTCGCTAAAAACACTTTCAAGGCCTTGGTTCTCCTGCAAAAGATAAACCAAGTTCTAGGCCGTGTGATGACCGTCTGATTGACTGCCTGTATTGAGGAGATGTCAAAAACTCGCCTTAGCCGGAGAGGTCGCGGTGATAACAGCGCGCATGCCCAATACAAGGGCCATCGGAATACCATCGCAGCCATCGGAAGTCAAATAAAAAGTATGCCGGTGCCGCTCAGCCTGTCAGGTTTCCATTTCTTAGGCGCATACACTCACATTCACCTTGCGACGATGAATGCAGTCATGTTTCCACGCAATGACGAAAACAGCCACGTCTGGCGTTCGTTCCAGACGCCGGCGGCTGGATGCCGGCCGGACGAGCTGCCCTTCCGCTACTGCGGCAACCTCCTCTGCCATAGCCTGACGCCGGCGCTGCCGTTCGCGGCCGCGCTGCGCACCTGCGCGCGCGCCGGCGGCCGGCTGGCCACCGTCTACAGCCAGGCGCACAACGACCAGCTGTACGGCATGCTGACGCGTTCGGCGTACATCGGGGCGGTGGCGCGGCAGCGCATGGTACGCCACCCCCGCGGCGAACCGGCCGGCCCGGGAGTCATCTGGGCCTGGCTGAGTGGCGAGCCGGCGCACTTCACCAACATGCTGCCCAGCGAGACGCCTGGCTTCTACCGGCAGCCGGACGGCGGTGGGTTCGAGGGCTGTGTGGAGCTGATGCGACACCGGGTGCTGCACGACGACCCGGCAACGGCAAGTGGGGCGACACCGACTGCCGAATTTCCAAGCCGGCCATCTGCACGCGGATGGTGCACGTGTCGCGCGAGCAGCCGTCCAAGACCCCACAACAGCGGCCTTCAAATGCGCCGTTCAACTTCACCGCCAGTCACTCTCCACGAGCAACGTGTCCCGCCGGGTTCCGGCGGGCCAGCGTGGGCCGCGTGGGCGACGCGGCCGGCCGGCAGCGCTCGGCGTGCCTTAGCGAGCAGCAGCCGGCCCGCAATCTGACGGCGGCGCTGCGGGCGTGCCAGGCGCTGGACGCGGCGGCCACGGTGTGGCGGCCGGCGCGGCAGGGGGACGAGCGCCGCTGGCGGTCGCTCCCGGCGGCGGCCAACGCCGGTCTTCTGTGGGCGGGCGCCAGCCGCCGCAACGCGCAGCTCCAGTGGCGCTGGCAGGAGGATGAGACACCAGTGCCGCGCGCCGCCTGGACGGCCGGCGAGCCGCGCGACGAGACGCTGCTCGACTGCGCCCGTGTTCGACGCGGCGCGCCGCGGCCTGGTGGCGGCGCCGTGCGGCGTGCTGCTGCCGTCCGTCCTGTGAGACACCGGTGCGCGGCTGTCGCATCCAGTACGCCGCCGACGTCGCTGGCAACCGGCTGCCGCCTCGACTGGGACGGCTGTGGCACTGACAGCTTCAACGGGTAGGCCGAGGCGAGGGTCCGCCCTGCCAGGCGCCGTTGGTCCGGTCCTCTGCCCTGCCGGCACGACGCAGCTCGGCCTCGCCTGCTGGCACGTACACGAGCACGAGATGACCTACGCGGAGGCATGGAACGTACTGTCAGAGCAAGGGCATGATAGCCGCCGCGGTGCTCACCGCGAGGAAAAACGCATTTGTGCATCGGCAGGCGGCGCGGCTCGGTCGGCCTTTCTGGGTGGTGGTGCTTCGCGGGCGGTTCACCAACTTCCACCGCTACGGGGCATACGGGCTTCCGGACGAACCCAACGAGTCTCCGAACGCCTGCGCCATCGTCTGGTTCGATGGCGAGTGGATGGATGTCGGGTGCGACCAACGTTTCCCTGTCATCTGCAAGCGCCCCCATTCGCAGGAAACATTGTGCGGCTGCTGTAGAGTCTGCAAAGTCTTCCGACTGAACTGCCACTAGTAGAGCCGTCAAAATGTGCGAACCTCGGCACGCGATATTCATTATCAGCTATGATTCCACATTCAGGCCAGTGCTCGTTTTTTATCTAGACGATGATAATCACGCTGGGCTATTTATCGATTTTGATGTGCATACCAATCTTTATTACGTCTGCGTTAGACTATCAAGATGTAACATAACGGAAGCTTAAGATAACAATATGATTAGCACTTAGCTTCACAACTCCTGAGACGTTCACCGCTCTTTACGCAACGTTTAAGTAGTTGATACCCGGGCTCTTGCTCCCTGATGGGTGCTTGTCATCGACTTTTCGTCGATTGCATAAAACCGCTTTTACGCCATATATGGTATGCGGTGGTGACAGTTTGAAATAAACCTGGTGTTTCAGACATCAGAATGTTTGTCATATTTCTCCCATCACTTACTGACGCGAGGATCTGGCACCAAATATCCGCGTGCTTGGCCTCAGAAGATCAGGAATGACAAATAAGCTACCCTCTAAAAATCGTTTAACGTTAATGGATTTGAGCCTGTTTTACTTTACTCACTTATTTTATGGAAAACAACAGGACAAATTCATAGTCGAGATGCACCTGAGCAATACCTGATCAATCTTAGCAGCACACCCGCGACTTGGTGATTGTTTCCTGTTGAACACACAACCCATGGCGGGTCAGAATGTTGGAATACTTTACGAAGTTGTTTGACAGTAATGCTTATTCACCAAGGCCTAGGTGACATCATCAGTCTGCAAAACCAAGCAGACTACATGAAGGAATACCAAGCCCTCCAATGTCTGCCACAGGTACGTCGGAAATCTCGTGCTGTCGGGTTGGCCAGTGAGCTAATCAGTGAGTCTGGGCGTGGAGTAGCTGAGCGAAGCACGCATGCTAGTAGCAAAACGTGCGTAAAACTGATTCGGTACAATAATTAGGGATGGAAAGGACACGGAGTCATCGTAGGCCAGTGATACCACAAGCTTCTTTCACGATTTGATTTCCCGCATGTACAGTGGCGATACGAGCGGATTTTTCAAGGTGTTTCGGCACGAATCGCGGGCCACTCGAGGAATATACCTTCCACAGGTGGCTATACCCGTCCGATGTTTGACCAAATAAATGCTAACGGTCTATTACAGCAAGACTGATCACATTTAGGTGGCATGTAATGCACGTGAAGCCCAAAAGAGTATCTAGGAACAATAAGGAGAGTTTGGCTGCTTGTTTGTCCACATAACTTGCGTGAAACGATTTATGGAAAATATTGTATCGCAATCGCATCGTATTCTGAACGTTCGCAATGACATGACGGTAACACAAATCGTGTACATAAATCGCAAAATTGTATGTGCGCGGGCGATGCCAGGTAGGTAGAGTGGTGGAGCCGTAACGGGTTGTCTTTGGTTGTAATCTTGAGTTGACGGCTTTTAATCTTGAGTTCACGTTGAGCAGCACAGATATGGTTTCCTTCTTGGCTGAGAGCTGGCACCAGGTACATCGATGATCTAATGTCTCACATACGCATCTAGATATGGATATGAGCAAGGATCATGCCAGGCAATATGCATGAGAGGCGACTGATTCGATACCAACGTTTCAGGCTGTTGCAGTGTCTGTGCTTTGCCTGGTCTGCCTATTTCCCAACAGCATCATGTATGCATCCAACAAAACAAAGCAGGGATGGAGCACAAAAAGAGGGGGACACGCAGTGCGTCTTTGCAGGTCCATAGGATCCACTGGCACAAAATGCTTGGTCAAGAGGACTTCAGCTATATAAAAAATCCCATTACTCTCTTTAGAGCTCCTACATACATTGCTGGCAAAAGCAAGCCGGTCTTTTTGTTCTAGGAATCTTTCTCCGTAAACAATTTAATTACTTAAATTACTTCTAACAATAAAATTACTTCTTCCGTAAACAATTTAATCAACGATTTAAACCCTCCCTGCGTCAAATGAATGAGACCGAAAAAAACTTCCTCGTGTCTTATCCTTCGCCTGCTTAAATCTGCCAACAGCACATCAAAGCCGGTTATTTTGTCATGAGAAAATCGGACCCAATTCAGTATGTGTAATCGCCTCCAGGAAACGTAAGCAGCTTAGACATAAAAGTGCAAGATTACGTAACGTCTATTCATTCATGCATGCTCCTTTTTTCCTCACTAGTCTGTAGCCGACTATAAGCAGTGTGCAATGCTCCACCTGGGCACATTTTTAATTTATCTGAATGTAGTCCGACTATAGTGATCGGATACATTTCTAGAACGAGAGCCCGCATTAAGCAGATTTTGCTGTGTGAACCCTGGCATCATACCTTGAAGTCCCAGCTTAGCTGCGGAATTTTGCGGCGAAAGTTGTATACAATATTGCCGTCATACTCGGGACGGTCTACCCAGGCTCTGTTTTTATCTGGCCTGGAGCGACCGCCGCTCCACAAGCCGCAGGCCATCCCAGACAGAGGCAAATAACCAGCACGTGATGCAGTAACAATCAACAACGTGCTGGCTTCATTGTGTATCAAACATGCCATCTAGATCCGTTAAGCACGTGGCTTTACAAGATTTGTTTTATCCTACTTTTTTCTTCTTTGAGCTAACCATTCAACACGTTTTGGAGACTTCTACACGGCTTGGTGGTCAGCGGTCATTAGGTGATTATGGGATCAAATGATGTCACTACTTAAAGACTTCAAGCGAATCGTTTAATACGATATTTTTGCAACCAAGAATTTTCAGCGTCCAAATCTCCGACTATAATCCGCGCATCAGCAATGTTCATAACAGTATCCTTAAAATCGTATTAAATGCAAGCACGGTACTCATCGATACAACGCAGAGCACATCCATCATCAGATGGACAGACAGTAGCCCAACAATGCATTCCTCCCGCGCCCCATACACAAAGCCACCCTGACATCTCATGCTCCACAGACCTGCTAATGCTCAACCTGTGGAGGCCAATCGGCAGCAAGCTGCACGAGGGCGACATGCTGCTGTCATCGGCGCAGAAGAAGCGGTACTCGCTGCAGCCGGACACATCCTCCTCGGCACCGCTTGTCGCCAACCCGTGGCCGAGCAACACGGTCAAGTACAAGATCGGCACACCGGGTCCGAGCAAGGAGCTGGTGGAGCACGCCATGGCGCGCTGGTCAGGCGGCACCTGCGTCAAGTTTAAGGAGGACAAGTCCGGCACACTGGAAATCAAGTACGGAGAGGGCTGCTACGCCCAGCTGGGCTATACGGGCTCCCATCAAGTGCTGGTGCTGGCGAAGGACTGTGAGAGCGAACCGGTGTTGGTCCACCTGCTGGGGCACGTGTTGGGCCTGCCGCACGCGCACTCTCGACCCGACCGTGACAAGTATCTGTACGTGCGCGCGCACAACGGCCTCGTCGACGACTTCATGTACCTCAACACCAAGGACTACGCTGCGTGCCCGTTCAACTACCAGTCCATCATGATGTACGACACGTACGGGCTGTCGCGCAGCGGCGAGGCCGTCTTCCTCTCGTCCTTCCAGACGGACAAGGGGCTCATGATGTCCAGCGGCATCGGCATCCAGGAC